AGAAACAGATCAAAAGGAAAAAAAACATGAGAAAGAATAAAGTAAGTTCTTTATCTGGATATGGATAACATTTTCCTTTATGAGTCCTTTGTACTTGTCTTGGAATATTTTGTTGCTGAGGAGAGCTCAGTCATTCATAGTTGATCACCATACAATGTTTCTGATACTGTATACAATGTTTTCTTGGTTCTGCTCATTTCGTTATGCATGAGTTTGTACAAGTCTTTCTAGGTTTTTCTGAAATCTGCCTGTTCATCATTTCCTGGGATACAATAGTATTCCTTTACATTCATATACCACAGCTTGTTCAGCCATTCCCCAACTTATGGATATCTCCTCAGTTTCCAATATCTTGCCACCATAAAAAGGGCTGCTATGAATATTTTTGCACATGTAGGTCCTTTTTCTTTTTTTATGATCTCTTTGGGATATAAACCTACTAGTGGTATTGCTGGATAATAGAGTATGCACTGTTTGATTATGCTTTGGACATAGTTCCAAATTGCTCTTCAGAATGGTTGGATCAGTTCACAACTCCAGCAGTGCCTTAGTGTCCCAATTATCTCATATCTTCTATGACTTTTATCATTTTCATTTTTTGACCTGTTAGTCAATCTGATAGGTATGAGGTAGTTTCTCAGAGCTGTTTTAATTTGCATGCCTATAATCAAAAGTGATTTAAAACACTTCTTCATATGCCTATAGATAGCTTTGATTTCTTCATCTGAAAACTGCCTATTCATATCCTTTGAACATTAATCAATTGGTGAATGTCTGCCAAAATTTTGTAAAAAGCTATCTACAATTAGTGCCTCAACTTCTCCTCTTAACTTTCTTCAATCTCGCTTCTGACCTCATCATTCCACTGAAACTGCTTTCTCCAAAGTTGTCCATAATATCCTATCTGCCAAATCTAATAACCTCTTCTGATTCCTTCTCCTAGCTTTGCTACATTTGAAATTTTATCACTATCTACTCCTGGGTTCTCTCTCCTCTCTTCATTTTCAGGACAATGTTTTCCTCATGGTTCTTTCTCCTAAAGAACCTAAAGTGTCTAATGTCTCTTTCTCAATCTTCTTTGCTAAATCATTATTTGTATTACTCCTCTGTCCCCCAACACCAAGGCTTTCTCTTGATCTCCCTTCTTTTTTCTCTCTATACTCTCTCCTGTGGTGTCCTCGTGAGATCCATGGGTTCAATTACTATCTCTATAGAGTAACTTCAGATCTACATATCTAGTTCTAGTTTCTCTCCTGAACTCTAATCATACTTTACCAATTGCCTACTAGGCATTTCAAAATGGGAGTACTGAGGGTATCTCAAATTTAGCATGTCTGAAACATGAATTATCTCTTTCCTTTCCTCAAAGCAAGGGTTTTGTTTTTGCCCCCCATTTTTATATCATGGATACATCTGGTAATCTTTGAACGCTTCTCAGAATGTTTGCTGCCTATATTCATAATTGAAGGAAATGCTAAATTTCAGTTGGAAGTTGATGAAAATAAAGGTATATTTTCCCCCTCACCGTTCAAGGATGTCCTTAAATTTATTCACAAACCTGTGAGATTCTTCATTTTAAAAACCCCTTCCCTAAACATACCATTCATTCAAATTTCCCTGTTATTGTTGAGAGCACCATGGTATCATACTCAACCCCTTACTCACATCCATTCAGTTGCTAAATCTTGATATTTATATTTCTACATCTCTCACTAATATACCTTTTTCTCAATTTACATAGCTACCACCCTAGTTCAAGTCCTCATTATTTGTCTCCTAGACTATTACAATAGTCCACTGAATCTATCCTCCATTCAGCTGAAAAAGTTATTTTTCCTAAAATGAAGATATGGTCATGTTACTGCCCTATTGAACAGATTTCAGTGGTTACATGTTACCTTTTGTTGTTCAGTTGTATCCAACTCTTTGTGACTCCATTTGGGGTTTTGTTGACAAAGATACTGGCATAGTTTGCCATTTCCTTCTCCAGCTCATTTTATAGATGAGGAAACCGAGGCAAACAGGGTTAAGTGACTTTCTCAGGGTCACACAGCTAGTAAGATCTGAGGCTGGATTTAAATTCAGGTCTTCTTGACTTCAGACCTGGCACTCTATCTGTTGCACCACGTAGTTGCCCCATAGGGAGCTCCTTCCTTCCTTCCTTCCTTCCTTCCTTCCTTCCTTCCTTCCTTCCTGCCTTCCTTCCTTCCTTCCTTCCTTCCTTCCTTCCTTCCTTCCTTTCTTCCTTCCTTCCTTCTTTTATTACTTCTTTCTCTTTCTTTTTGTTAGTTTTTTTTCCTTCTCCATTTCCTTGATATTGGGTGAGAGGAAGTGATGCTTTCGTGAACCTCCAATATAGAATCATATTGAGGAACTGTTGAATTGCTTTCTTGATATCTCCAGGATCAAATAGAAACCTTTCTTTTTGGCATTTAAAATTTGGCATCAAAAAGTCTTCACGACCTTTTTTCTTCCTACCTTTCCAGGCTTTTAACGCTTGACTCCCCTACAAGTGCTCTGTGTTCAGTTCTTTTCATATTAGCCTACTTGCCCTTCTAGGTACCCATATGCTTTCCCTCTTTCACCTCTGTCTCTTTGAATCTTAATTTTCTGTAAGACTCATTTCAAGTGCCATCTTCTTCATAAAGCTTCTCTTCATTTTGTCAGAGGAAGGGAAGGGAATAAGCATTTATATAGCATCTACTATGTGCCAGCCACTGTGCTAAGTATCTTACAACTATGATCTCATTTAATCTGAACAACAACTCTGTGAGGTCGGTACTGTTATTATCCTTATTTTACAGTTGAGGAAACTGAAGTAAGTAGAGGTTAAGTGACTTGCCCATCATCCCACAACTAGTACATGTCTGAGGCCAAATTTGAACTCACATCTTCCTGACTCCAGGCCCAGTGCCTACTGTGTTACCTAGCTGCTAGGGTACTACCTTGTATTAATTTTGTGTCTGTTCCATAGATTATAGATACTACTTCCCTTCACTACAGTTCTCTGCCTGCTACTTCACCTTTCTTGGTTTCATTTTCCATTCAGCACAAACTGCTAATCTTCTTTTATTACCACTCATCATTATGTAATTCCCTTATAAGGTAGGGATGTACTGAAGCCAGCTCCCTAGAGCCAATTGTTAAATTTTGAGTGTAAATATTTACACCTGGGAAGTCTTAGATCCTTATAGACAATAACTCAATTTATTCTTTGATTGTTTAGATTTAGAAAGTATTCAAGAAAATGTTGATAATGCATATTAAACTTAAAAATGTGTATTATGTCCTTTTTTTTTCTTTGAGAGAGCTGGTTGTTAAACATTTATCAGCACACTCCAGTTATAAAGACTAGTCACCACTCATTCATGGGTACAATCTCTCAGTACAGGGATGGATCAAAGTGGAAGTCTTGTAGGAAGAAAAGCTAGCTAGAAGTGCCCCATCTATGCCAGAAATATTCATTTATCCCTTTTTATGTAGTAAGAAATCTTCAATTCAGTGTGGGTTGTATTTTAATGACCAGTAGGGACTGTGCAATGTCAAAACAATAAGACATATCCCCTACCAGGTGATGAGCTTTGATCTAAACCAGAAAGACATGGAAACAGATAATAAGGAGATAGGCAATATAAGTAACCTATGGTTCATCCAAACAACGACAACAACAACTTTTCAGAATATACAGTAGTTTTTCCTGATTCCTGGCAAGCCATCTATGGGGGTGGGATAGTCTGTGAAGTCAAGGAAGAGTCTTCTATGAAAATTATAAAAGAGGATTTTTAAAAGGAGAGGAAAATAGTGAGATCGCCTATAGAGTTACACAGGATGAGATTTGTGCTGTTATCAACTGATATTACACAAAAAGTCAGGCCCCATTTTTCTTTAAATACCTCACTCACCCCCTATAGGGGAGTTCCATAATTGCCTCTAACAAGTCTTCCAGTTTTATAGCCAAGTCTATCACACTGGGTTCCACGGGGGTAGTAATTACAGTTCAGATGGCACCAGTATTCAAAATCCTTGCTTTTCTGTAATTTTCTAACCTTCACCAGGAACAATAGAAGTATCCAATTAGATAACAACTCTCTGAAACCCAAGATGTGATATTTCACCTCAAGATCATTTGCAGCAGAACAAAGTGCAGCCTCTTTGTTAGTAACAATTCATCAGCAGGCTGATAATGACTTCTCAACAAAAAGCCTTTCTCTTTTGCAGTGGCCCCAATGTTATCTTGTGCAATTCCATTAACTTTTATTATCCAAGTTTTGTGCCATTTTTTCCTATTTAATGGAATTCAACAAAATATTTATTAAGCACCTACTATGTGCAAGGTACTGTGCAGGAGAGAAAAAACAACAACAAACAATCTTTCTTGCTTTCAAGAAACTTACATTTTATCCATTCAACTTGGGTAATAAATAAAACACGTGCCCAAGTAATTACATGCAAAATTATTTCAAGAATGAGTTGTGGAAGAGTGCTAATATTTAAAGGGTGGTGTAGAGATCAGGGTGTTAGGAAGGGCCTTATTTAGGAGCTGTGCTTTGAAGGAAGCTTGGGGATTCTGGAGGAAACAGGTGAGAGGGGTTGCATTATAGATAGGAAGGACCACAAAGGCACAGAATCAGGGATTCTAGGAAAGCTAGGATGTCAGTTTGACTGCAATGGAGAACATATGAAAAGGAGTAATATTAAAAAAGCCTGGAAATGTAGGCAGGAATCAGATTGTATAAATGTTAGGCTGAAATTTTTTTTCTTTAGAGGAAATAATGGGGTGTTTTGATCAATTATGTACTTTAGAAATATCTGTTTGGCACTTGTGTAGAGGAGAAAGAGACCAGAGGCAAGAAAACCACTGACTGAGTATCCATTACAGCTCTGAGGCAAAGGGGAATTTGTTTGAGAATTGAGGGAAGGGATAGGATGGGCGAATAAGTTTTGAAAAAAATCAATGAGAATGGGATGAATAGGCATCACTTACTTGATTTCTGCCCTAGGCCCACCTTGACCTCCTGGAAACAAGTGTCAACCGTAAGAAAGTCTACTTCCAGCATCAGGTACTCTGTCAGACTTTGGGAGGAAACCCATGTCCACTGGTGACCATCACAGCAATGCCTGAATCTAACAGCAGTGACCACCTGCAGCAGCTCCGTGAGTAAAGCAAGGCTCTTACCCCACCCCCTCACTCCTCCCCACCTCTGCTTTTTTCTCTTCTTCTTATTCTTTGTCAATTACTGCTTTGGTTTTGATAATGTTTCATCACTCAAGGATTCCATGTCTAGTATTTTTAGATTGGAGGCTCCCTGTAAGTGAGGACTTTGTTTAACCAATGGAACATATAAAGTCCCCCTATATACTGTGAGTTTCTAATAAAAAGATAAAGAATGCAATTAGCCATTGAATATATGAGTTTAAAGTTTTCACTGAGTTATTGTCTTTGATTTAACTGCTAGGTCCCATTCCATCTATCAATCTATCTCAAATGTGCTTATTGATGCCTTTATCTTTACATCAGTTATTTTTCCCTGCAACCTCTCCTGATTGAACTTTCCCTTGTACAAAATATGCATACACATACACATGAACATGACTCACAAGTAGAGCCTCCAATACAGAGACTGTGTCTGACAATATACACAGTATTCTGTTCATGTATGCCCTCCCCTCCCCTGCTATTCTGTCTTCTCTAAGACCTTAACTTTTTTCCCCATTATCAGAGTTCACCATCTTTTTTAATGATGTTTTCATTGGTGTTGATGTTGTTATTATGGGTATTGTGCTCTTGATTCTTCGAATTTCACTTTGCATCAGTTCACACAAACTTTCCTACCTTTCTCCAAATTCCTCATATTCCTCATCAAGAAGAAGTAGAACTGAGTATCAAGCACTGATAAAAGTAAGCACAATCACACGTTTAACAAAGGATGATTCTGGTGAGAATAAAACTAAGGAAAGAAAACTATATAGAGAGTTTTTTTCCTTTTACAATGGCCAAAGTTGGAGATGAGACAGGATAAATTTTTCTCTTTTTACACAATGGTTCATACACTGTGGAAGGAGGCCTCTTTCCTATTTGATTGCTTCTAATCAAAGCCTTACCAGAGCTTCGCATTCTTTCTTTAGAGATCTGTTTGGCAACATGGATGCTTTTTAAATTTTGGGGAGCAGGGTACATTGAGGAAGAAAAGAGAGCCAGGAGAGATACGTTAAGGATTGCAGAAAGCAAACCTAAAATTGTCTTTGAGCTCATATGTATTTGACCTATAATTGGTTAAGGTTTGAAAATTACTGCTGGTGTAATTCCAGGCTCTGTGACAGATAGGGCCACAGAAACAGGATGAGAAATACCAAGAGGTTTCTGTGTGGGGAGGGGGAAGTCTGAGAAAAAACAGTTAATTTATCCCCTAAAGACACAGCCTTACCTGATGAGGTGCTAACTGCATTCAGGTGACTCATTGGTGATATGAAATGTAATTTCTCACACCTCATCAGCATTTGACAATGGATGCTTAACAACCTGGCTAATCAACAACGGATTATACCATCTGAATTAATGAGGCACTAAAATGTCTAATGAATAATGAGGGAATTTTCAAAAATTCTCTTATGTGTTTTATGCATTTAAGAACAATTTGTGCCCTAGTCACAGTTCCCTCTGCTTGGCAGATAAGTGGGGCTGGGGAGCTAAAGAATAGAATCATTGCAGAGCTGCCTTCAGCGAATAATTATTTACCTAAGCAGGTTGTCCTGCACAATCCCTGCTCTGTAGTAATAAATTCAAATAAAAGGGGTAGGAGGGTCCTCAATCAGTCAACATCCAAGCATTTATAAAACGCTTACTATGTGCCAAGGTTTGGGGATATAAAGAAAGTAAAAAATTCCCTAACTTCAAATAACTTACCATCTAATGGAGGAGACAACATGTTAACATCTAGGCACATAGAAGATACATACAAAAATAGATTGAAGGTAATTTGAAAGGGGAAGTCACTAGAAATTGGAGGTGAGGGTCAGGAAAGACCTCCTTCAGAAGGTGGGCTTTGAGCTGAATCTCGAAAGAAGCCAAAGTACTAGGAAGCAGAGGTGAGGGATTGGAGCCTTTCAGGTATGGAGGACAGCCAGGGTAAAGACAGGAATATGGATGTAGAGTGACTTGTTCTAGGACATTTGAGTAAGCCAGTGTAGAATATGTGGAGGGAAGTAAAGTCGAGAAGACTGGAAAGGTAAGAAGGGGCCAGGTTGTGAAGTGCTTTAAAGTTTTGTTTCTTGTTGCATTGTTCAATCGTTTCGGTCATGCTATTCTTTGTGACCCCATTTGGGGTTTTCTTGGCAAAGAGATACTAGAGTAATTTGCCATTTCTTTTTCCAGCTCAATTTACAGATGAGGAAATTGAGGCAAACAAGGTTAAGTGACTTGCTCAGGGTTGTTCGGTTGGTTGTTATCCTTTCTTCTCCAAGAGGGCCAAAATGACATCACTGTATTGGAGTCATGGTACAGTGTGTCCGAATGTGGCTGATCAGACCAATGTGAGCTTGGAAACCTCTAATACAGGTTGGGCACAAATAGTCTTAGATGAGGCAGTGAGGCAAACAGGGTTAAGTGACTTGTCAAGGGTCACCCAGCCATGTAAGTGTCTGAGGCCAGATCTGAACTCAGGCCTTCCTCACCCCAGGCCCAGAACTACACCACCTAACTGCCCTTCAAATGCCAAATGGAGGATTCTATATTAGATCCTAGAAGGGATTAGGAGTCACTAGAGCTTATTGAGCAAAAGGCTTATATGATCAGACCTACACTTTAGAAAAATGACCTTATTGGAACTCAGGTTCACTTGTCAATGATCCAGGCTGATGCAGCCTAGTGTAGAACAATTCACTGTGAGTCCTGAGGACTCTGCTACTGTGTAAACTTGGACAACCAACTTAACCCCTGAGTCTCATTTCCTTCTCTTCTGTATGATTGGTCACTAAGGTGTTCTACACACTTGATTAGACTTGTGAGTTTTTTAATATGTAATTATTATATTTTATATTATCATTATAGTTATTGAACAAATAATTTTTATTTAAAGGGGATAGATTTGAGAGATCGTGTTTTTGATGCTCTGGTAGTCAGATGATTTCATTAGCAGGGTCACTGCTTCCATTAATACAATCACAACTTCTTTGTTCCTTTGCATCCTGTGCCAGCTCCTCTGTGTCTTTCCATTAAGACTTTCATAAAAGACCTGCTTTTGATGTTTTTACTATCCTGATGATAACAATGTAGCATTCAATCTGTCCATCTCTTACCTCTTATTTTCATGAAATGGTGAGTATTTTCCAGGCATAGAGATGAAGACAGAGCCTTCATTGATATAGAGGATTCCCATGGGACAAAACTCCCTGTGCCAATGTAGGCCAGCATTTTCTATGCTATTTAGAGTCTTAAAGAATTGCCTAGAACATGGAGGGCTTCAGTGATTTGCCCAGAATCACATGGACAATATGTATCAGAAGTGAGAGAAATGATTATTTCTCTTTTGTAGTAATAACTACTTATTGAATCAGGATCAAGGTTTTCACCCTTTTCTACTTCTTCATCCAGAAATCAATCAGTGTGGGAAATCTTTCTCAAAGGCTTACCCAGCCAGGATGGCTAAGATCAAATCAAAGACAGTTAAAGACATGCTAAGTTCAGGCCAACAGTGGATTCCTGCTCATTGTATTTACTTAGACAGGTCTGAGAAAATGTGGGTTCTCTATTTTGCCAGACAGGCGATACAGAAATTGATAAATCTCTTTGACCAAGACTTGGGTGATCCAAGTCAAGTACCTCAAGACCCTCATTGGAATATAACCCATCTATAATTATAAGGGTCATCTCCAGTAATCTTGATTTATATCTTGCCACTGGACTCAGCTCCAGAGAAGAAAGTGAGGCTTATGACTTTGCACAGCCCTCCCTCACTTAAATCCAATTCATATGCAGGTCATGGCATCACCTTCTTGATGTCATGGTCTTTTTTGAGAACGAAGGACAAGCAACAACAATAATAACAACAACCTCTCAGTATAATATTAATTCTGTCATTAATTATTAACCAATCAGAGTTGATTGTCACCCTCATGAACACTTGCTTTTCCAAGGACATATAAACTGTAAGCCTGTCTCCATGAAGGGTCTTTGGCATTCTAGAGTCCCACTGAACCCTTTTTATTAATAAACAAGCTAGCCTTACTAATAAATTGATTAAATTACCCAGAAACTATGTCTCTCAAACTTATTAAATGTCACAGAAGTGAGAGTTGAACCCAGGTTTTCTAGACCAAAGGATAGTTATAATGCTGCCTCTTTGAGCACCCTCATGTTTTTAATTATTCCTTTTAGGGCATTTCTCTTGATCAATCTATCCTTGGGGATATACTACAGCTTTCTTGTACCCAACGTACATCTTTCCATTATTCTTTGGGTTACTTATAATTTTAATTCTTCTGAGATGATATTCCATGGATCATAGTCAAAATAACATTTTGGGAGAATAATGATGTTCAAAAGACAATTAAGACAGCTACATTTTTTGGGGGGGTGCTGATTAATAAATATTGAAGTGGCCAATTGGTTTCTAAAGTTTTTGCAAAACAAGGTTAAAAAGTTTGCAAAACTTTTCATAAGCCCTTACATTAATCAATCAAGAATTATATTTGCTGCCTCTATAACTCTACTTTCATTATGGAGAGACATAGAATGTGTCATCTTGTTCATCCTGAGTGTATAAAACTCTCTTCTCTTTGCTGTACTGTAAGTTGGCCTATAGAGATTACCCATGGAATTTTGTTTTCTTATTTACATAGTATATCAGTATTGAAAGTGTGTGCTTGTGTGTACAGGGGCCAAACTAAAAAATGCAAGGAGAGTTCCACCAAGTTGTATTAGTTGAATCAAAAATCTCTGGTCTGCATTGCATATGCAGCTAATAATCATTCATCAGGAGAGGGGTTAGGCCCCAGTGGAGCGAAAAGGAGAGTAATGTTAAAAGCTCAGGATAGAAGGTAATGCAGAAAAGACTGCAGAAGGGGAGATAACCTGGAGGATATTCTTGAGAGCAGACTCTCTCCTGGCCCTTCCTCTGTATTTTAAATATTTAGGCCTTTCCCGTGCTCAGAGGTGG